GCATTGATGCTATGGACTGGCCGGCCCGTTCCCCAGACTTGAATCCAACTGAGCACATCTGGGACATCATGTCTCGTTCCATCCATCAACGTCACGTTGCACCACAGACTGTCCAGGAGTTGACTGATGCTTTAATCCAGGTCTGGGAGGAGATCCCTCAGGAGAACATCCTGCCTCATCAGAAGCATGTCCAGGCGTTGTAGGGAGGTCCTACAGGCACGTGGAGGTCACACACACACTACTGAGTCTCATTCTGACTTGTCTGGCGGAATTTTCACTGAAGCTGGATCAGCCTGTGATGTGGTTTTCCACATTTATTTTGAGTATGATTCCAAATCCAGACCTCCATGGGATAATAATTTTGATTTACATTAATCATTTTTATGTTATTTTGTTCTCATCGCATTCCACTATGTAATGAATAAAGATTCTCAACAGGAGTATTTCATTTATTGAGATCTAGGATATGTTATTTTAGTGTTTCCTTCATTTTTTTGAGTAGTATATATATATATATATGAGATAAAGCAACAGACTGAAACAGAAAATGTAGATTTTTCATTTATTAAACATCTGCAGCCTCGACTTTCTCCCTCACATCTTAGTCCCAAGACGTGAGGGAGAACTTAAAGAACTGAGAAATAAAAGCAGTAGTTCGTGGAGTGTTCAGAGCTGCAGTGACGTGTTTCTGCCACATGGTGGCGTCTGTTGACATGAAATCAAGTTTGTTTCTGAACCTTCGTTCTGCTCAGCTGCTGACTGATGAGGATGAAAAACACATTCTCAGACGAATAATTTGCTCATTTCTGAAAACTGTGAGTATTTATATCACTTTTTATTGCCTATCATCTCGAATTTGCTACGGTTTCTGTTTATTTGACTTGTAATGCTTGTTTTTATATCTTTTCATCATTCTTTAAAAATGTTCAACTTGTCATCATTTAATGTCCAAACACTGAGTCAAAGTCCTCGTATGTGAAAACCTACGTGGCAATAAAACTGATTCTGAGAAAATCTGACAACAAATGGATAAAGTAGAAAACATGAAACTGAAGCATGTGTTCAGTGAGGATGAAAGATTAATCGAAATGTTATCGGAATCACAATGTCGCCACATGCAAAATCCAAATCACAGCAGCTGCAACTATTTATCATAAGTGTTGCATCGTATTATTGTAAATGGTGCTACGGAGACGCCTGGGCCTATTAATGCTGTTCTCCAGATGTGAGGAAACAAACTTGTTTAATTCAGACGGCAGAAAAAAATCCAGATCTTTCTATTCCAAATGTTTTATTATTTCCTGTTTTAAAATGTTCGTTTGTGTGTTTTATCTTTTTTCTCTGACTAATACTTCCTTTTTTTTTTTTTTTCACTGACTTTGCTATTAATTTTTAACTTTTTATTGTTTTAGTGTGTCAAACTGCTTCCACTGTTTGACTATTTGCTCATCAGTCTTATCAGTAAAACACTTTGAGCTGCACTAACCTGTAAAGGTTAAATAAAGATTAGTGATGCGTTCACTGACCTCGGCCAGGACTCTGGTTCTCTCCGTCACTCCTCCGCTGGCCTGCTGGTAGCGCTCCTTTGCCTGGTGGATGAAAAATATATCACAACATGTTTGCAAACTACTTTCTTTTGAGCTTAAAACTATTCTAAATTAAAACTTTCTTTTTTTTTTTTGAATCCAGAAACACCTCAGTTTGCTGCTTGTTTACAACAATGTAAAATAATAAAGTGAAAGATGAGAAACTGATGAGATGTTTCTTTGCGGTTTGTTCTTTACCTCGCTGAGTTTGGCCTGAGCGCTGCGATACTCCTGGATCAGATGCTCCAGCTGGTTGTTGATGTATTTCTCTCTGCTGCTCACCTTCTCCAGAGTCTTTCCGATGTCCTCCTGCAGCTTGTCCAAGTAGCTCTGCAGACAAAAAGTGGGAAAAAAAACAAAAAAAAGTTTCCTGAAGAATCCTTGGATCCATTTAAAAGTGTGCAGCAACATGGGATAAAGACAAAATACAACAGTTTCAACCACTAAACAAGGTAAAACAGGAGAGCAGTAAATAGTAAACACTGGTAATAAATGTGAAATTGTAGAGCAAAGTAAATGAGAGAAAGATGTTTTGTGACTTTGGTACTTTAACTGCTCTCTGTGATGCTTCCAACATTGGTGCTGAAATGTGGAAGACTTCTTGGAAACGTGCTCCTTTCTTTCTCTGTAGACGTCATATGAATCCTGTGCTGTCTGATGCTGCAGGTTTGTAATAAACTGCCAAACAACTGTCTGTCTGTCGTGTTTTTAGACCGATATTGGTGCTAAAATGTGGGAATGAAATGAAAAGCGAGCACCTCATTTTTTGGAGGTGGATTCTGCTGCTGTCAGATGTTGCGTGTATTTAATAAAGTCAGAGGAAAGACTCCTCAACAAACTAAACGGCAGCTCCTGTTAGTCAAAACCTGCTTCATCACAGTAAAGTTTCAGTTTAACAGAGTCAGTAAGAGTGAACAGGAGACAAAGCTTTTGCTCTCTGTGTCATTTCTTGGANTCGTCTCCTCCATCCTCGTCTCCTCCATCCTCCTGCTGGTGGAATTAATCTCAACATTATCAAAAACGAGAGGCAGTTAGCAAGACAACCCCTATAAAGGAGTGGTTCTGCAGGTGGTGACCACAGACCATGTCTCTGTTCTCATCCTTTCTGGCTCATGTTTTGGTCACTTTGCATTTTGTCAGTGCTCTCAGCCCTAGAGGTAGCATGAGGCGTGTCTACAACCCACACAAGCTGCTCAGGTAGTGCAGCTCATCCAAGATGGCACATCAATGTGAGCTGTGGCAAGAAGGTTTGCTGTGTCTCTCAGCACAGTGTCCAGAGCAAGGAGGAGATAACAGGAGACAGCCCAGTCCACCAGGAGACGTGGAGGGGGCAGTAGGAGGGCAATGACCCAGCATCAGGACCACTACCTCCTCCTTTGCGCAGGAAGACCAGGAGGAGCACTGCCAGAGCTGCAGAATGACCTCCAGCAGATCACTAATCTGCATGTTTCTGCTCAGACTGTCAGAAACCGACTCCATGAGGGTGGTATGAGGGCCCCACGTCCACCAGTGGGGCTTGTGCTTACAGCCCAGCACCATGCAGGACGACTGGCATCTGCCAGAGAGCACCAAGATTGGCAGATTCTCCATAGGCTCTTTACAGATGAGAGCAGGTTCACATTGAGCACATGTGACAGATGTGACAGAGTCTGGAGATGCTGTGGAGAACGTTCTGCTGCCTGCAGCATCCTCCAGCATGAACGGTTTGGTGGTGGGTCAGTAATGGTGTGGGGAGGCATCTCTTTGGAGGGCCCACAGCCCTCCATGGGCTAGCTAGAGGTTCCCTGATTGCCATCAGGTACCAGGATGAGATCCTCAGACCCACTGTGAGACCACATGCTGGTGCAGTGGGCCCTGGGTTCCTCCTGATGCATGACAGTGCTGGGCCTCATGTGGCTGAAGTGTGTCAGCATGATGAAGGCATTGATGCCATGGACTGGTCTGCCCGTTCCCCAGACCTGAATCCAACTGAGCACATCTGGGACATCATGTCTCGTTCCATCCACCAACGCCACGTTGCACCACAGACTGTCCAGGAGTTGATTGATGCTTTAGTCCAGGTCTGGGAGGAGATCCCTCAGGAGAACATCCTGCCTCATCAGGAGCATGCCCAGGCCTTGTAGGGAGGTCATACAGGCACGTGGAGGCCACACACACACACTGAACCTCATTCTGACTTGTCTGGAGGAATTTCCACTGAAGTTGGATCAGCCTGTGATGTGATTTTCCACTTTTATTTTGAGTATGATTCCAAATCCAGACCTCCATGGAATAATAATTTTGATTTACATTAATCATTTTTATGTTATTTTGTTCTCATCGCATTCCACTATGTAATGAATAAAGATTCTCAACTGGAGTATTTCATTCACTGAGATCTAGGATATGTTATTTTAGTGTTTCCTTCATTGTTTTT